ACATGGTCGTTTTTTTTCGGCTAAAAATGTCTTACGAAACATGGTCGCTTCGGCTAAAAATTCCTTACTATATATACATGGTCATTTTTTGGGGCGAAAAACGCCTTTCTATACATGGTCATTTTTTGGGGGTTAAAAGCGGCTTACTCTACATGGTCGTTTTTTTCGGTTAAAAAAGGCTTACTACACATGGTCCTTTTTTTCGTCTAAAAACGCCTTGCTATACATGGTCGTTATTTTGGGCTAAAAACGCCTTACTATAGATGGTCGTTTTTTTTAATCTAAAAAGGCCTTACTATACATGGTCGTTTTTTTCGGCTAAAAACGCCTTACTATATATGGTCGTTTTTGTCGGCTAAAAACGCTTTACTATACATGGTCTATTTTCGTCTAAAAACGCCTTACTATACGTGGTGTTTTTTTCGGCGAAAAACGCCTTACTTTACGTGGTCGTTTTTTTCCATCTAAAAACGCCTTACTATACATGGTCGTTATTTTCTGCGAAAAACGCCTGACTATACCTGGTCGTTTTTTTCGGCTAAAAAGGCCTCACTGTACATCAGGGATGTATAACATACGGCCGGAACCGGCTTGCAAGGAGGTTTGATCAGGCCCGCAGGATAATTTAAAAGTGAAAAAATGCACAAAAGACACGGAATTAATATTTTTAATAAGGTGCAATTCGTGGAATATCCGCTAGGTGGACACACTTTTGATCAGAGAAGAACACAACAGCAGCCTCAGTCTGTCACTGAGACAGACCCAACACAGCAGACGCCATCAAGGACATGTGAATACTTTATTCTTGACACATTACAGCACTCTCCTTAGTTTGTGAGGTGTAGGCAGGGATTACGTTTAGATTTTATATGCTTGTGTAAATGGTTTAAAAATTCCTTTCTATATAAATCTCATTTAATCTTAAAAGTGCAAGTCTATATTTTTCAAGACCAATTCCTTGTTTAGGTTTTGTGCCTTTGTACAGTCAGTGGGATCAGTTGCAATGCATATATGTGAATGAGAAAAGTACATGCACATTTGTCGAAGGAAATCTTAGGTGCTTCATGAAATGTTTTGTAAAAAATATGTTCATTAAATTTCAACATTTTCCTAGTGTTCTTGTGCATCTTTAGACCAAAACAAAGGAAAGACATATTATTTTGGTTATTTATAGCAGAGTTCGGTATAATTTTTAATAGTGCGGCCCACTTGACATCTACCGAGGCCGTATGTGGCCCACAATGTGAAATGAGTTTGACACCCCTGGCCAAGAAAGCAAAATGACAAAACGACACAATCTCTTTGTGCAAGTCGTCTTCAATCGAAAACGAAGTTGGCTTTGCAAACTATCTCCTGATCTCAGGATGGCATTCTGAAGGCAGGCAGTAGGAAATACTGGCGTGGTGGATGGGTTATGGGTGAGGTCCGAGTGCCGTCACATCACCCACGAGAGACGCCAACCGTCTCACCAATTATGTTCTTTTTTTGAACCTTCAAAAACTCGTGTGGTCGGCTGCCTTTGACTACATATAAAAGTTTCGAAATGTTCGCAGCAGAATGGCCGAATGGTAAAAGACCTCGCGTGGTGATCAGGCGAACCGAGCTGGGAAGAAGTCTCATTCCAACAAGCCTCATTTCATTATTCACAGTTGAAGGAAGATTGTTCTTGGGTCCTCTGTGCCACAAGAGGGAGTAACCTGCTCACCGCCAGAGTCCACCTACGAGCACAGACCTGCAGGCAACACTTTTTGCTCTTCTTCCTGTTATCCACAAGGTGCTGAAGTCAAACTTTGGGCCAGCCTGAAAAGTAGGAGACATTTACTATCGTTCAATGCACCATCATGACTACTTTTTTGACTTTTTTTTTTCCACCCCCAGGCAGCAGTAAACATGATCGGCTTCCTGCTCTCGAAAGACCCAACACAGAGTCTATCTCCCTGGTAAGTTTCACGCCCAACACATCTTTGTCTGTACAAGAAATTGACTTGCGTGTAACTCACGGATGCCTTTCCTCTCAGGTCAACACACCTGTCCCACGTTCTTCTCGAGAGCTGACCACTTCGCCGCCCAGCAACAAGTAGACTGACATCCAACTTGCAACTTTTTCCTCTGCTTTTGTGATTGTCTACTCTGCAAAAGAAATAAAGCTTGATTACAAAGAAAACTCAACTTCATTTTTAAACACATCACCAGAATCTAACTTAAAAAAAAAAAAAAAATTCAACAAAATTATCTTGTTTTTTTCTGAATTTTTTTCAAAATTTTTTTTTCCTGAATTTTTTTTTCCAGGCAGAAAAATCCAGGAAAGTGGGTGTGGCCTGGCTGGAATGATGGCTGATGATTCGCTGATAGTTGTGAAAGTGGGTGGAGCATGACGATAACATGCTGTTATTGGTGGAAAGGGGAGTGGTTATGCAAATCAGGCGCTCTCTGGTGGGCTCTTTTGGGCGTGGTTATCCAAATTTGGAGCAATCCGATGGGCCAGAACTTGGAAAGTGGGCATGGTTATGCAAATTAGGGTCGTTTGTATGCAAATGAGGTGCCTCGCCGCGATTGGTGGATGTCAAATCGGGTGAGGTTTGGGCCGGGCATTGCATCACTTTTTAAGTCCCACTTGAGTCTTGAGCTCAGACTTGCACTTGGGTCACATCAGACAGTCTTTTCACTGTTCCCGTCGGTTTCACATGACCCAAAAGCTCGACTCCTGGAGTTTCGAGTCATGTGGAGACCAACGGGAACAGTGAAAAGACTGTCTGATGTGACTGAAGCGCAAGTCTGAGCTCAAGACTTCAGTGTTTGAAAAGACTTCGAGTGAGTTGAGGATGGATTTGGTCATGATAGGCAAAGACTCAAATTCAAGTTGAACAATTTCTTGGACAGAAAAGCGAACATGACAATGTAAAAGCATATGACCAGTCAATCTTT